TATTATTATCTATATATATATATATATATATATATATATATAATTTTTTTTTAGTCAAAGTACTGCTCTCGATAAAGATTTCGGATTATCAGACTTTCCAAAATTAGAAACTTCTTATACCTAACAACCATGCAATTTCCCATACACGAGCAACGTTCCAAGGAATTGGAACACATGAAGGTGTCATGGCAATTACATTCTCTCGTAACGAAGTCACGAAGATATCAGAATCTCAATGGCAAGGCATGTAGACACCTCGACACTTCGACTTTGTGCTTCTCTCCGTCTTCCTCCGCCGATCCTTGTATCCTTAACCGCAGAAGGAACGACATCGTCCTTCGCGATACGTCCTTAGGCTACCGCGTCACTTTGGAAACCCTCGTAGCCGCCTCTCGACTCTCGAGAACTCCTTAAATTATAAACAGTGTCAGGCAACGTCGTGGTACTTCGATCGCGGTCACAGTTCGAACGGGAACTTGGCTTTCGAGTCTTCTGACTCGTATTCGTATTCGGAACATTTTCGATGGAGTTATGCTGGTATCTTAGGCATCACATTCGTTTTTTTGCAATTAAAAGTTCACTTTGAAAAACTGGCATTTGATCAAACTAGCGTTGATAACTGCGTTATTCAATGCTCGAATAAACATGGAATTTTCTATTTGCATTCAATACACTTTTGACATTATAACTTTTTTTTTTATTTATATCGTTTATCCTCGTGGAAATGTTAAAATATTATCAGATAAAATAATGTCAGGACTTTTCGGCTAGATTGAATTGTTCAGATTTTTTAGATTTATTGATGTAATTTGATGATCGTGCATATAGCAAAAGTATCCTCGTTATTAATGCTTTTTAATGGAAATCTAAGTTTTTAATTAATTAATTTGTAATTAATTTGTAATAATATATGGTATATGTATAAAAAGCTTTTATTATATGTTATTATATGCTTTTATTAAATGTTAATTCTAAATGATGAGAATGAGAAAAGGTCGTTGGTTTTTCGCGGATAAAAATTGTGATTACATTGACGTAATGTCTCATTCGATATAGCATAGAATCTTAACTTCTGCTCAAACTTTCCGTCCGGTTAATAAGTTAACTACAGAATCGCCTTGAAGTTCTGCATAGAGATTGCAAATAATTGACTCAACGCGACAATTGTCGACATTAACCTAACCCATTACGTGGAAAGCTAGCGAGATTCTACGAAGTTACGGAGTCTATCAAGATTGCTTCAAGTGTGACACAATGGAAGTGAGGAAATCGCGGTCGAATCGCAGGACGGTCAGCAAAAGTCAATGGTTACCCAAAACTCGATCCCAAAACGATCAAGCCAACTTCATAAAGTCGTAAGATCTTCAAAGTTCGTTGATGTTCGATTCAATCGACACTTCCTTCCTCCACATTTAAAATAAAATGGCACCAAAAATCGCACGAAGATTTTCGCACACCGAAACTTATAACGCTCGTTCACGATTTATTCTAAATCCAAATAGATTTTTTGAATGTTAATTATTAATATTATTACTTTTCCGAGAGGCAAGCACTAAAATGTTATTATTAGTCGTTGTTTAGTCACGCAACTGGAACATACAGTATATGATTATATATAAGAAATAATATAGAATGATTCCGAAATATAACGCTCTATGCACGTTAGTCTATGAGTTTACCGATAAGTAACCTTTATTTATACAAGCAATGATTGAACAGATGTATCGAAGTGAGTTCCGTATGTGTAAAGCTCGTATTTATGGTTTTATATATATATATACATATTAATGTAATATCCTTTTCTATAATTCTACATTTATGCAAGTGTATATGTATTTGTTCCTCCAGAATTTTCTAATTCCTTTATGATATTTCTTATTTTTATTAATTAATTTTTAATTAATTTACCAATGATCGCACCATTTATATTTAAGCCATTTATGCGGCAGTTCCTTGTATAGTGCAGAAAAATTGCAAAACTTCTACGATTGTTTTTAAATAATTCTCTCGATATGAATATTGTTATATTATTAAAAATGAGCTTAAAATTATATAATATATTTTTTATAAATAAGTTGACATTTGCAATCGCCGTTCCCTTGTCGCGAGTCATGAAGTTTCATCCTTTTACAAATAATGAAGTTTTCCGAAATATTTCTATAACTGCTACGTGATGTTCGTTCGTCTATTCAATAATTTGACGTCACGGCATTTCACAATTAAACAAACTTTCACCGTGAATGACGTCGATATTTCATTACACTCCTCAATCCGTTTATCTCCGGTTAATATCCAAACGCCCGGAGAATCCAAAGGATTTTTAGCGGGAGTATCGGCGTTCCTTGAAATGCAAAAAGGGGTTGCGAGGACGAGTGAACGAATGGGGGAGGGAAGGGCGAGAGACGGGGATTAAAAAAAAAAAAAGAAGGACAGAACGGTGAAAGAGGAAGAGACGAGCATTGATGAAAGACAAGCGAGTTCTCACCTCCCGCTCCAGTTTTATGGATCGCAAATTGCGGATAGGCTGTCCTTCCCAATCAGGCAGCTTGGCACCCTCCTCGCCGACCAATTCTTCTTTCCCAGCTTTCCCTCGCACTATTTCTCTGCCTCCTCTCCTACCCTTACAGCCTATAAGCGGCTCGCATCCTCTCCTCTCCCGGTGAGGCCGTAACTTTTACGTAACACGCTTCGCTATGAATATCGATGCCGGCGGAGTTAAGGAGAGCTCGCTTTTCTGTAATTGAAAGAATTTTTGTCGTGCTGAGCCAGCTGGCCGGGGCATAAAAGGTCTCGGATCGGAGTACTCCGTAGTTCTTGCGTGTCGAAGAACTCCGCGGTACGACGTGAGCGACGAGGATTTTAATAAATTACCGAAACCGGGTGGATTTGGGTGGCCTTTATTCTCCTCTCGGGGCCTTGCATCGTCGGGGAT